CAAATCCCGTGTTCATAAACTAACGATTGAAAACTATTGCTCTTTCAAACGAGGGGGAAGAGTTGCCGATAACTTTGTTTACTTTCTTATAAATGTTCTTTTTGCCCACTTCCGCTAATTTGGCATAGTTTACTAAAATTCCCAACACTTGATATTAGAATTTCCATCGATTTTTCTTCTTATTAAAAAATTTCTAATCGTTTAAATACTGGAGTCCCTATCTTTTGCCTAAAAAGCATCTTTCGTGAGAAGCTATATCTTCAAACCGAAAGTCCTTTTAATGTTCAGGTTCTTATTAAAAATATTGCTACTCACGCAAAAGTGGATTTAATTAGGAACCATTTTTGTAAAAGGATTATTTGTTTACCTTTAAACAAAGTTATATTCAATAAATTAACTGCAATTAAGTACTCAAACTGTATTTTATTTAATTTAAATAAACGTTAGTTACCCTTTTTCAGCGGAGGTAAAATGTCCCCAAAACATCATTAAACCAGTTGCGGTCGGGCTTAATTCTATACCAGCCGAAAATAATACCACATCGAATGCTTTCAAACGAACCAATAAGCCGACTACTAAATTAGTTTGGCAGTTCGCTTAAAAGAAGCCTTTACCACTGTGGTGGCAATCTTTTTTCCCACGAAGAGTGAAACATATTGTCGGGAAATATAATCACATTTGGAATAAAACGAAATATGATTTTCATTTTGCTGAAAAAATGATGATAAAACACACTGCTTGTATAAAAGTTAAATATTTTGTAAGGATGATAAATTTTTCATCAACCTTAAATTGTACAAAGGTATGTAGTAACCAAGCATTTTTTTTTTTTCTTTCTTTTGTAAATTTTTGAACAGTTCTTCGGTCATATACTGAAAAATTTCTTTTCAGATTGTCTTTCAACCAAATGGAATCATATATATCTCTTCTAAACGTATCTAACTAGATAAATTAAACTATCTCCCTTCTAATACAAAATCCTGAAATCTTAAGACTGTGACACCCATCACAGGCAATCTTCCTTCCAATCACGAAATTCGTCTAACATATTTCAAATCTCCGAACGCATTCGAAAACTACATAATGTCAAGCCATCGTCTAAAACAAATTCTATTATTAACTCTGCCAAGCGCATATTTTGCTACCTTCACAAGTGTATTCTTAACCAACGGCCTTCTTCGGATTCATACCCATATTCTTAGTCGGTTAATAATGAAAACAGCTCAACTTAATTGCACTATCATCCGTAACAAACTAAAACAACTTGAACAATACCCTTATTGTAATGACATCTATTTGGCTTGTGTTTCTGAGACTTTTCTTAAATCCCATTTTCTATTAAAAATTACAAGTGGTAAGATTTTATCGTATCTTCAACTCCTTTTATGGTGGCGTTGTGGCGATCCTTATATCTAATAAACTTTCATACTCTTACGTTTCTAATTTTGGATATTGTGATTTTAATGCTCACTATGTGGGTTGGGGTCGTTTCTCCAATTCAAGAGGCAGGCAAATTCAAGATTTTCTTGAAAGCAACAACCTAGTCCCACTAGATAACTGTGGTTCTACTCATTTGGGTTCCGTCTCTTTTTGCATAGATCCTTCAATCTGTATACTCAATCTAAATTCACTGAGTACCTGGAGGACCCTTAACAACACCGTAGGTATTTCTCACTCTGTAATCGAAATTGGTCTTCATTTGCATCCTACTGCGCGGATCCCACTGACTTACGCATGTTCCAAAAGGTACTAAACCCTCTTTACTTAACAATACTATCCGTAACATTTCAAATGCCATCCAAACCAATGACTCTTCAGAATCGCGGTAAATAAATGCAAAAGATCTCCTTCTGGAATAAACTTCAAATTTTTGGCCGATGTTAGAAAGGAATATACTTATACTCTCATGCTGGAAACATTTTTGGAAAATGTCAATAGCGATATGTCAATCTCAGATCTTTGGCGTACTATGAAAATTTTTAAAGGTATCACTTGCTCACAGCTCTTTAACGGGTATTGTAACAACTTTGCTGGACCTTCTGGTCCGATAATCCCGTCTGTGTCACTTGATGAAAAACATGATATTATTTCTTAAGTTATATGTCTCTCTCTGAACTCGATAAAGCTATTCATCTCTCAAAAGATTCATCTCCGGGCCTAGGTGGTATCCGTAACAATCACGTTAAAATTTTGAATATTGAAAACTGATTACATCTGCTACGAATTCCATATCTTCACTTTAAGACAAAAGATTGAGACGCCACTAATCTTAATTCCAATATATATATTGCCTTAGTTTTACATTCTTACCAAAATTTTCGAGTGTTAGCAAAGTTTTGGAATGGTATCTCAATTCTAAATGCACCCTCAGCGATTTTCAATTTGGTTTTAGAGGTTGCAGATCTGCCGAACATAACATTTCACTCTGTGATCAGCAATAAACTCAGCGTTTCCTAAGAACCACATTTTCATTGCCGCCTTAACCTCCGCGTTTGATTCTATATTAACATTTTCAATATTAATATTTTAAATTCTATTCTTATCGCTATTAATCTCCCTACCAAATTTTGTGATTTATTATATCACCTCTTTCTCTTTAAGAATATGTTAATTAACAATGATGATGTTAATGTACAAACGGGATCTTTTACGGATGTTCCTCAGGCATCTTTATTGAGTCCTCTTAATTTTAATTTTTATATTAACGAAATTTTCAGTTTCCTTCCAGAGAACACTTCAATTCTGGACTATTGTGACGATCTTTATTTCCAACTCTGATCCAGATCTGTGTAGGCGGACCTAGCAACCACCCCTCGACAATACTTGCCATCATCTTGAATCACTCCAACACACGCTTCCAGTCAATAAGACCAAATGCTTGGTCTTTTCACAGAGAAGGAACGACCGTACGGTTACTCCTTTTCTTATTTATAGTTCTTCTATTGCATTTTAGGCATTTTAGGCCCCAAACTTTTTCCCGAAGCTCATATTGACAAAATTGACAAACAATGTTTTTAACTCATTAACGTACTGAAATCCAGTTGTAGCATATCTTGGGGCTCCCTTCCTTCTGAAATTATGCAGAATCCAATCGAATTGTCTCCGTCTGGCTCTTGATGCCAGGAACAGATGGCAAATGTTATGCGTCTACCAGCAAAATTTCGTTTACTCGCAAACTTTTCTTCTAATAAATTCTATCTTTTGAGAATCAACCGGCCTTACTTTATATTACTCAATTCCTCTTCTTCCTTCTTTAAAATTTTTGCTAACAAAGTTAATAATTTCAACATTCTAAGAACTGATGTACATAGCTTATTCAAGATTCCTTTTGGTCCTCAATATTTTCCAATGTTAATTAAATTCTTATCAATGAGAAAGTCCAAAATTACTCAGGTAGAAGTACATCACCGCTACTCAAACTTCGTAATTATCAAATGGAAACATTTTTCACTTATCTTTACTGACGGATCTAAGAAGACAGATGTTGTGGGCGGAGGTTTTCGGTTTCCAGATATTAATATAGAAGCCTACTTCTGAAATCAGCCACAAAATATTATATATTCAGCTGAATATCTTGCGATCTTGGAGGCTAGTTTAGCGATTAAGAAATTCCTTATAATGTCAGACACTAAATTTATGGTATCCGCTTCATAGTCAATTCCGTCATGGAAAAATTCATCCTTACATATTAGAAATCAGATCCTTACTTTATAGTCTCAAATATGATACATTTTATTTTCACTTTCTCTGGGTACCTAGTCATATGGATATTTTTGGCAACAACACTCCGGATAAAATTGCATCTTCCAGAACATCTCATTTTAATCATCTAGCTCCGATTAATGCAGATCTGAGGGCAATGGGCAAAAAACCTTCAGTTCTTTCTTGGCAACAGCGATAGAATAATTCACCTCATTATCGTCACTTATATTCTTTGTTTTTAAAAATAAATAAATCCCCTTGGTTTATCAATTACGGACTCAGACATGACATTATTTGTCTTATCAAATTATGAACTTGCTCTCTTTTACACTTTTTAACTCTCACACTCATCAATTCTTTCATATGACAATCTCTACTCATATCCTACATTACTCCCTACATAACACACAACAATTTACTTCTCGCTGTTCTGTTCCATTCTACTTGACGGACGAGTACAGCACGCAAACTCAAAAAAAAAACTTTAATCAAATAAACAAATACTTTAATAAAATAAATATATAATAATTGGGCTTTTTTAGCACTTCTCAGCGAATTTTCAATTGATGATTTGCTGAATAACAGAAGAAGAAATTAAACGGAATTGTCAATTAGTTGGATAAACTTTATTTAAGTAAAAATTGTTATGTTGGCGCTCAGTAAATTTCAAATGTGAAGTCCAAAACAGGTAGAGCTCTTCCTTTTACTCATTGTATCATTTGTAGATAACGATTTTCCTCAAGTAATGAATTGAGCGACGTGGTCATATCGTTTATGATCATATTTGAATTAGGATGCGTTGAACTTGTAACGTCTGGTTGGTCTAAAATATTATTGTATTGTAACTTAGTGTAATCGGTAGTGATACCAGTAGCGCAGCTGGAATCGTTGTGATCTTTTGTTTGCAACCAATTTTGACAACTTTGAACGTATTTTAGAGTGCGCTGATAAACGTCAGTGCACATATCATTAGAAGCATTATCGAGATTGCACGAATGTGCTGATAAATAGTGACTGTAGTGAGGACCCGGATCGTTTTTAGTAAAATTAGAAGAGAAAGGCACATTGAAGGGCATAAAAGCTTCTTGATTGGCAGCTGTGGTCACAGGTCGTATTAAATGTGGTGACATTTGTGATTGGCTGATGTCTCCGCATTGAATATCGTTCTCAATTGTGTTCATGGGAATGGCACTTGTTTGTAGACTCATTTCAGTCGTTGTCTCTTGATTTGCGTAATAATGGGCAGCGGTGGTAATACATGCCGATCGGCTGCCTAAATCATTTTGTTCCGGCATATTTGTAATTGAGTTGTCTGTGGCAGCAGTAACATTTTGCGAATACAGCCCTTGCATGACCAATAAAGTCGGCTGTTGTTGATTGGTTGCCGGCTGAGCATCAACACAGCATCGTTGAGAAGCGTTCGGCGCGCTTAGATGATAATAATTAATATATTGATGATGATGATTTAGACAACGTTCAGTAAATAACTTAGTATTTGTAGGATTTGTGTGATTTGTCGATATGTAATTGGCTTGAGAGAGAGGACTTTCCGTCCCGGCCGTTAAAGTGAAGTTAGGCTGAGATGACATAATTGACATTGGAATCAAATTGGTCCCACTCCGCGCATTACTTGTGTATGAAGCGAGTGCAGCATTAAAAGCGGTGTTTTCCGCTCCTTCTCCACTGATGTCTCCAGTCACGACATTTGCATAATCAGAGCTTGGTGTCATTTGGCCTCTAGAATTGTCAGCCACTTGATTTAGATATTGCAGCATTTCATCAGGCAAAACCAATTTGTTTTCAATGAGTTCGTCCTCCTCAACCTCATCTAAATTAACTTTCTCGTTAGGATGGTGGTCGAGAGAAGATTTTGTTATCGCCTTGTTGTTCTCTCCGTTCTGTTTTGTAAATTTTAGGTTATTTAATTGTGCCCACTGAACATTCTGAATAGTGTCCATAGATGAGATTGGTGACAGAACAATACGCTCTTCAGTTAGTTTCATTGGCTCAGAAAAGCAATACGTCGTTGTTGTTATTGCAGCAATGGCGTCATTATCGGTGTCACATATTGTAGAAACATCACTAGCTTTGCACATACCATTTGTGGTTGTGAATCCGTTCTGTTGTGAATATTCAAAATTCTGTCTAAACTTTTGTAAATGCGTTGATATTAAATGAGAGGAAGGTGGTGGCGGTAAACTACTATTAATTTTACAACTTAGTCGACTGTTCTCGGGAAAGTGATGGTCGCATTTATTGGTGTGACTACTGCTATCTTTATTAGCATTGTTGAAAGTAACCATAGTATTTGGAGTCAACGGCATCGAATTAACACCTGCGCCGCCACTGGTGGTTATTGTAGACATTTGGCTTGAGCGCCGTGAACAACCCGGCGATATAGGGTCATATAATGAACCAGTGTTGTAACAGGGACGCATTGTAGATATTAAGGATAGTTGGGAGCACTGGCTACTACGGTGACTTTGCATACTGCAATAGTATGTACTCGAATTGGAAGTTTGACTTTCACGTCTAAAATTCGATGAGATACCTGAATAATGGCTACTTGTATTGATATGGTTGCTCCTATTTCCACAACATACACTATTCGGGTAGACCAGACAGGTATGTAATTCTGTCATATTTGACTCGTTGCATATATTTGAAGGCACATTTTGTTGTTTTTTTTTTGGAGAAGTTCCACACTCCATTTTTAATTCGTTTATACGTTCATTGAGTTCTCCAATGCCGATACCCAAGCTAGAATTCGTTTCCGGTATATTTGAAAGGGTGGACGCACTTAAATTGACTGCTTTAGCTTGCAGACGTGAACGGAACCGTTGTCGCATTGATGATAAGCCGCTAGCGCTCGTATTTCCCGCGACAGTTGCATTTCCATATGCTGAATTCCCGTTTGAATTGGTGCTAATACTAACCATAGCTCTCAAGACAATTGGCAATTCGGCAGCGTCTAAATCATCATCAAATGGCCAAACATCGTCAGCTTGTCCGGGATTATAGTCTTCTGATATGCTATACCTGCCCTTAACGCACATTCCTTGTCCGTGGTTTCCGCTATTGCTTGCTTTAAAAGTCTTGAGATGCTGATGAGCTTGTTGACCAGCCACAGGAATTGGGCTATGAATTGACAGTTGAGATGGTGAATTTGGATCTGATTCAGATTTAATACTGGGACTTGACATGCTAGTATTTTTGGCAGAAAGGAACTCATCGCTTCGTGGACTTATATCCAATTGATGATGGCGTTGTCTTGCACCGTGACTTTTCACACCACTAGTACCATTGCTTCCATTAGTATTGTCCGTATCATGCATTGAACCTTTATGCTTCTTATTCGCATAAAATTCAGCTCCATGCACAGTTTTAACATGTTTACGTAGTGAGCTAGGGTCGGTGTACCGTTTTGTACAGCCGGGAGCTTTGCAAATGTATGGCTTCTGAAATAATTTAAAGATTTTAATCAATGGAAAGATTACTTGACGTCTTTGAAAGTATTGACTACTTAATTTGATTTAACACCAACGTACCTCATTGCTGTGGGTGCGATTTTGATGTTTGGCCCTGTCACTGGCATTGCTAAACGCTTTGCTACACCCCGGATATTCACATGTATATGGCTTTTCACCTGTATGTGATCGCAAATGGGTTTTCAGATTCTCCAAACGTGAATACGTTTTACAGCAACCTTCAAACTATAATGCCCCGATGGAAAAAAAGAAAGAAAACAGTGGGAAAAATTTATTCATTTACGTAAAGTATCACGATGTCAAGGCAAACATGCAAAACACAGAAAACAAATTCATTTTCTGATAGTGCACAATAATGTAAGCAGCAATAATTGTCTTCAAACATTGGCTGCGATAGATTTTTTAGATGAAGAAAATGTCCACCCTGCACAATTTCTGTCTCAATTTTTAATATAACAATTGTCATCAATAGACATTAAGCGAACAAGTTGTTGGACATATCTAAAGCAACCATCAAGAATATATTTAAATTAACAAATAAAATGCAAATTTTGCATTTCTCAGTGGCTTGCTGGTGTGTACAAACGGCTAGAAATATAAAATTGCCAAGGAACAATGTTCAAAATTGTGCATATGTGCGAAACCGCGAACCAATGAA